CAGAGTGAAGTAGTCAGCGTAGAGTGACGTAGTCAGCGTTTGGGGGAAAAGAAGACAGCACAATTATCTGTATTTTTCGAATTTATTCCATATGTTTAAATTTTAATATTATTATTTGTAGAATTAGCTGCCTACATTATTTGTAATTATGCAGTAATGTCCCCGCATGCGCAGAAGTTATTGATTCCTATAAATTATGCCATGTATTACACAGGTTGACATAATGGCAGTTTATTGTAATGTACGTAAGTACTAATTTACGTTAATACAGTATATATTGTTTGTTTTCTGCTCTAAAAAATATCAATTGATTTCAAATACTTTTTAATAATTTAATTGAAAAGTAATTAAAGTCCTGTTTAAACGCATGGCAAAGAATGAATCTTCAGGGAATGGTGAGAGAATGGAGGGAAAAATGCGATAGCTGTCGAAAGGCTGTGTAAGAAACTAAGTGAACTTAACTATTGAATAACGACTAGTTTTAAACTTATTCAGCTTATGAGAAGTTACCGAATTCGCTGATGCTTGTTTCTGCGTCGTTAATAAGTAGAGAGTATGTGGTTCGAACCTTGACAAGGGCATCCTTGAATTTTTATATTCCCTGCCAGAGAAACATGACAGTTTCTATATTGATGCCTAAACTAGAAATATTCTTGCACGAGACCCATTCGCCCTTTAAGTAGGGGAGAATGTAAGAAATTTTCGCATTCCCCATAAATATTTCTGCAGTCTAAGTACTAGCAAATCCAACTAGCAAATGTAAGATACGGGTTTTGAATCCTACCGAGGGCACAGCTGATTTCTAGCAGCTGCTGAACTTTGGTCTAATGCCCGAACTAAAATGCAATGGGCGAAAACGCCTCACCACCTGGATTTAATTGATTGGGTCTGATGTCTCTTCCGAGTCGTCTCTTTTGTCGCCATGAAATCCGTATGTTGCATCCTGGCAAGAGTACTGTTGATATTTTCCGCTCCCTGTTTCGAGAAACCGAATAGTCTGTACATTTTTATCAGCTTAAGTCTTAAGTTCATCCTGCTTTGCAAACTCAAGTGCGAGATATGCTTAATGTAAGTATAGAATTACTGATAAGGTTAGGTTAGATTATTTGAATATGGAAAAACACTCAAAGGCTATTTGCCTAAGAAGGAAGGCCTTCGCAGAGGACTTTCTAAGGGAAATTGGCTCATATTCGCGTTACACATGAGAAGGACCAACCATGCAGCCAACCCATTCGCCTGGTTTGAAACCAACAATAAATAGATAGCTCTGTTTCCAGCCAGCGGTAACCGAATGAATAAGACTGTTGAACAGTAGTAGTTCAACTTGGGTTCGAATCCTGGTGAGCGAGCTATGGACGTTTTCGTGTGTGGCGCAAATGCTAACCAGTTTTCTTTAAAATCCTCTGAAAGGTCATCATTTCTTAGGCCGATAGGCGCTGAGTGCTCTGCTACAGTCGATTAACTACTACAACTAGCTAAACTATTGTCAGGAGGTCCATCTCTCCAAGCACCTTTTGGTGTCATAGTACATGGGATGATTCTGTCATTCTTTTTCTTAGGTTATCTGTGACGTTGTAGAGTCATTAGATTATTTTGAATATATATCAAAGAAAGACTATATAACAATGAACGTATTAAAATCTCGAGAAGTGAGGAAACATTTGTTATGAAACTTGATTTTTATCACGTTCAGTTAATGAATAATTTATTGGGAAAAAAAAAAAAAGATTAACTCTATCTAAAGATAAAACTATAGCATTTCCGAAAGCTGTTTTCATACACTAAAAAGGGAATATGGAAAGCTTAAGCTGTCATTTTTATTTCGCTTTTCAAGTTAATGGAAAAAGTTTCTTGATACTTATTTGCAGTAGTTGGCATTGAAATTGCTATTAATCAAAAATGTTTTGTTTTTTTTTTTAGATTTAGTGTTCTTACTAATCGTATTTTATTTATTCATTTAAACTTTTTTAATAGATGATTGTGTCAAAGCAACTTACTTTAATAGTTAACCTCCTTTACTAATATAAAACAGATGACTATAAATGCAACGATATTTGTAATCTCTCCTAAATAATGCATTTTCTTTTCCGTGTTAAAGAATGTATATAATATGTATTTAAGTCAAAATGTAATAACATTCAATAATTGTCAGAATCTGGTATACCTTTAAACTTATCCCTCTTCTTTGTTTTACTTAAATAGCTGTTTTACGAATATAAATTACTGCCCATCGAAGAGAAAGGTGCAGATTTCTGAAAATTTTGCCATTTTCAGATATATTTTCATTTTTGCTGTTATTATTAAAATGTTATTAAGAAAGCAAACGCACATCCTGCAAACAGGAATTTTTTTAAATGCCAACGATTGTAATCGCAATTAATAAAAGTCGTTGCATTGTGCGCCAAACTGGCGAAAATTCTTTTATTTTTTCGACAACGCATCAGCTGATTAGAGGGCGCTACTTGTCAAAGCCATGCTGTCTCGAAAGTTAAAAAAGCGGATTTCACAACTTCCCGATAAATTATTCGATATTTATTTCAGGGATTCTCCACAGATGGATACTTTCTGATTCTTGGATTATTTTTATTATTATTTATGTAAGTACGCTAGAACTTGTGCATCAGAATACCGTAGGCGCTCTTTTTGTAAATACTGATTTTATAAACTCGGATTAACTATTTTTAGTCTCTTTAAAGCATATGCGGTTGGAGCAAGAAAAAGGAATTCTAATCGGTGCCTTGACTCGAGAACTTTGTTACTGAACAAATGTTATATAACGGCTACATATTTTCCCTTTTATTCGCAAAACTAAATAAATATTTCATGAAATACCTAACGGAATTCGGCATATAATTGCGTTTGTCATAAAACGATAGATGTTGTTATTATTTAAGGAGAGCACGCAGTTTTTAAAGCAAGAATTAATAAAATATTAAAAGATGTTTAAACTTTTAATTAGTAAGATTCAAAATTTGGCCGGCTGGCTTGTAATATAATTAAAATTATATTTTTTGCGTCCTTTTTTCAAATGCATAAAGATTTATTCATAGAATAATAATTTAATATATTATATTTTACTGACGCATTCCCCACCGCTGCATTTTCTTCCGCCAAACGTGGCATTCAGAAACAAGTGATGGCCAACCTTTTGAGTTCGGCATGTCAAAATTTGGAAAATCCTAACTTAACTCTGATGCTATGCCACATGTAGAATGATCCATCTGCTATCTATATCATCTGTGTGCCAACAGTGCACTCGAACGCACCCGAGGTTAGCGCAGCACATGTTGACAATGACGAACCGTTGCGAGAGGCAAATATTTTTGTGTTATGCAATATTTTATTTCCATGAATGGCTGTGGAAATGCGCGATGTCCCAAAATGGATTCACGTATGTTTCACATCGTGTGTTCTCTAGCCTTGAACTAGACTGTTTTACAAATAGACATTTTCACAGATGGAGGGGCATTTTATAGATTTTCATTTGCAAATGGTACTCTGGTTGTAATAATGGGCCCCCGGATCGCCTCATAAGTGTGCCGGCACCCCTAATGCAAGTCAGCCAGTCTTCATCAAAATGGAATCCTTTGCAAGGGTAACTTTATATAAAGGTACCAGAGCCTTTAGAAGATAGCTTTAAAAAGGATCTTCAATGCGGTACCATTATGCCGGTGTGGGGGGGGGTGGAGCTTTGTGATGGTTTTCTGAACTATCAAGAATCCTCCAATCTGCTAAAGAGGGGCGTCATCGTTATGAAGGCATTCGGGTGCCGAAACCTGAATCCAGCGAACTTGTATTTTTACGCTGGAGCGCTGTTATACAAGCAAAATACCGTTATGCTGATTTTTTTATTATTGTCTTATGCATTTAACTACGGCAAAGCACACGTGGGCTATCTGCCTGAAAAGAAAGATGCCCTCGTGGAAGACTTCTTAAAAGAAAGTGATTCAGATTTACATTATACATGGGAAAGTCAATGAAAAAAAAGGCTGTGCATCCAGTCCGTTCGCTTGGATTCGATCCTGGTTTGAACTATCAGTATTCAGGGTTCGATTTTGAAACTAACGAAGTGGATCGATTTTGCAGTTAAAAATGTTTGGCTTGTGTAGGTTTTTGTATGTTAGCTAACAATCTAGTACTGCAGGTTATACTTCTCAAACTGGGAGTAGATTATTACATTTCTACTAAATATGGAATGGCTAAATTCCATTTTGAGAAGCACAACCTGCAATATTGGTGTGCTGATTAGCATTTTACTAATGAGTATATTTTGGAAGTAAAGAATTGAACGTAGTAATAATAAAGTAATACTGTGGCCGTCTGCTGCGAAATAAAGCAACTTACCCTTCTTAGTATAACATCAAAAGTATTTGTCTTCTTCCTTCTTGGCGCTTACTTTCGCTTAAATTAAAATGCAGTCCGCAAACTCTCTCGTTTTTGCTACATTTTCTTTTTTATAACGCGGTAACTATAGGAAACATTTGACTGAAATTATGCTCAGATGATCTGTTAAAACCGACGATTATGTGGTGGAATTCAACCGGGTCGCTAATTCGGCTAACCGATTGTTTAAATTGAATTTTAATATTTTTTAGTCAGTATTTAATTTTATCGTTTATTTAGGTAGCGAACCGATGTTGAAAGTCGCACCAATGTAATGGCTGTCTAATTAATTTTTCTATATAGTATATTTTATGTATTACCCCCAAAACTGGATATCTCTTTCATATGTAATAAAAAGGTGTATGTACTTGCTATATCCTTAAAAAATTAGAATCCATGAAAATTAGACAAAAATCTATAAAAATTTATCCATAAAAAATTAAGTAGTATATTTTATGTATTATTCCAAAATGTTTAGATATCTCTTTCAAATGTAACGAAAAAAGTGTATGTACTTGCTTTATCCGCAAAAGTTATTAAATTTTATATAATTAGTCTTTGACTATGTTTTCAGAGGTATTTACAGTGTTTATTTTTTTTTTTTTTTCTCTTTTCAGATGAAGCCCGTCAGAAAAAGGAATGCATTCTAGTGCACTGTTTAGCTGGCATCAGCCGTTCCGTGACAATCACGCTCGCTTATCTTATGCAGAAATTGAGCATGCCACTGAATGACGCCTACGATTTCGTTCGTCAACGTAAAGCCAACATTTCGCCAAACTTCAATTTTATGGGCCAACTCATGGACTTCGAGCGCCAGCTGAATCTTGGTCCTTGCCATTGTACGTGTCAAGCTAATCCTTGCCACTGTCAGACCCTCCATTTCATTTCACCTACCCGCACCACGCCTGATTCTGGCATCGATGTTGATCACTGGACTTAGAGACTAACTTTATCGCGTGTTTACCGTTTTATTTGAGCTTTTGAAATTGACTAGGTATTCTTGAAGAAGCGGGAATTTTCTGTTGTTGATATGGTAGTGCCATCTGTCGGCGATTTGAAGTGAAAGTCATATTGTCTCTTTTTAATTGTGCGTTATTGTTATAGGGGTAATGTGCAACTTACGATGAAAAATTGCATTTATCGTGAAGGAATTTTTAACGCAAGTGTTTTTAATTTTAAAGGTGATGATATCAGAGTACATATATAGATATATTTATATATCTATATATGTATATCTATATATGTATGCATGTATAATCTTATTAACAACTGTAGTTTTTAGATTCTTAAATGTTTGTGTGAGATTTTATTGAGAAACCTGAAATTTGTGCTGGCACAATTTCTGGCGCACATCGGCAAATGACTTTTGCTAATTGCACAGGGTGTACACCCATTTACCCCTTGCATGCCATTTGTGCTGTAATGTGAAATATATATATAATCTAGTCTATGTACACATATTACTACTGTTTTATATGATATATATCTATATTTATATCTCTCTATATAGGTATAGATGTACACGCAGATGGAATATGCACGCGCAGATACAGATATATCATTTGTGACTACATGTGTGGAATCTGGGGATTGATCTAAAACCAATCAAATGTCATTAAGTGTCTTGATGTACTGGGGATAAGATATTTTAAATCATCGTATTTTTAATTCTTTGCTGAGTTTTGGCTAAACAGTGTTGATTTCATAATTTCTGTGAAATACAGCGGATAATAATTTGTATTAGAAGATAAATTTTACCTACTACTTGATTAAAATGTATTTTCCTCAGTGAATGGTCAATTTTTCAAAACTGTAATATGTCAAAATATTTATAAAAGAAAAAAGTTCGCATATTTATGTGTAAAGTAGTTACGTTCGCATAATATGTTCGCCTAAAATAACTACATTAGTATAACTGTTTTGCAAGAAATGCAGATTTTGTCAACGAAATTCAGTACAATTGTTTCAAAATTTTAAATGCTTTGCATTTTAACCTCGTAAGTTTTGTTTTCCATGTTTAAATGGAGGTACATAAAATTATAATATTTCCTCCCATTGTCATCTAAATTTATCAATTTTCATAGACATTACTATAATAATTATGAGAGTACAGAGAATTAAAGCTTTATCAGAGAGTTGAAAATTTTTTAATTCCAGTCCCCGTTAAAACATTAGTAACATATTACTTTCATGTTACTTCAAAACATCTTTCAAAATATAACTTACAAGTATGGATTCACTCTTTTAAAATAATTCTAACTTTAATTAAACTTAGGAGATTATATAATCAATTAATCAATATTGTTTAGGAAATAAATTATTATTAACTTTGTAGCAATTGCGCAAGTAGTAGTAACTTGTTTTCGCACTAAATGAATTTAAGATCATACAATATTATATATATATATATATATATATATATGTATGTAAGACATAAGAAAATGCGATAGCTGCTTTAAAAATAATTGGCGATTTCAAAATCAACGATTCTAGATTTGGTGCTCTGCCCCTAAATTCATCTCCAAAATCGAGATCCTTCTATGTTATGTAACAACCTAAGACTAACCAATCATAGCTTGTCTCTACAATTACATCAGACTTAGTACAAATACTTTTGGCACAAAAAACTACGTCATTCCATTCCTTTCCTTAGCTTTCGTCATTGCTAACGTATCTTTTACACTCTGCTTGTCCGTCTAAAATGATGTTAGCCTCGTTAACCTGTGTATATAAGAAATTATCGTAATTATTATGATTAAAGAGTATGTTGTCTACGAGTAATTATTCTAGTGTGCCTGAAATAAAGATGATAATTGGCTCAACTGGGTGTCGTATCAACTTCTTCCTCATGACTGCCATCTTTTAAAGTACCCGGATTCCTCCTACGCATTTAAATCATTATAAAAACAAACTTAGAAAGTATGACTAGCAGAAATTGTGATGGCGTAGAAGTGTTGATCGATAATGAATAGGAAATTGGAGGCGAAGGCAGATTAAATCTTCATTTTTTATTTCAGCAAATATGTTGCGGCCACAAACAAGTTGACGCATTAATTGTGTCTATTCCAAAAACTTACATTTTATATAAATTTACAATAAGATAGACCGAGGAGGCAGACAGGAGTCCCAGTTAAGCGAAAGCGTTGAAAGCAAGTGCGTTATGTTCAGGGTGAAATCTTAATTCAAACTGAGTTAGTTTTGATTCTCAATGCATTTTGATTGGATAGTTAATATTGCCGTAAAATTACTATTGGCTGCTTGAGTTCCATTTACATCACTAGAATTACTATGCAAGAGTCATATGACATGGATTAATGTAGAAATGACGCAGTGCAAATAGAGGTTCTTGGAATAAAGAAGGCAAATTAATTTACGCTGCTAATTTAATCGTTTACATATTCTTTATTTTTCTTACATATATATATATGTATATGAAGTGTTCAGTAAAGAAAAGCACCCATTCGAAATTTTTAAGGTTTCTTTTGAAATTTTATTTCTTTGTATCTTACTCAAATGGATTTATTGTTGTGGGAAACTGAAAACTATATAGTAGTGTTAATGAAATAATCGAGCATAATTTTTGAATGCTATTACAATAAATTAAAAATCTCTTTCAAAGCAATCCAAGAATGATTACAGTCTTAGCTTAGCAATATGCTTGCATTGCAGTCGTAGAACTATATAGTTTTAAACATACTTAACGAACATTACTAATTTCTTTATTGCTAAAAAGGTGGATGTCAGTTCCAAATGCACTAAAAACCAAAGTGGCTGATTTTAGTCCCACTGTTTAGCAGAAAACATAGCAAAAAATTTTAATCATTACTTAAACACTGCCTGTCCCATAATGCTGGTTGCTGAACAATAACAGTATTTTTATTTACAAGGTGCAGAACTTTAGAATTTACTGTTAATTAAATTGGTATATTTTAGAAGAGCATTTGTTATCTGTACCGAAATATTAGTTCTTTTTAGATATTCCATTCATGAGACTATTAATATTTCTCTTGTAGCTTAAAAGTGTTTGCCGATTAGTAAATCGGTAGAAAATTTAACGAAAGAATTTTATAGTGCGTACGTATAGAATTTTCCTCCACTTCTTTTGTTAAATTACGTTTGAAAATTCTGTACCTTAATTTCCTTTACTTTTCACATTTCTGCCGTTAATTGTTCTAGCGTGAAGTAACATTAATTTATTTACGTATGGGAATAATTTGATTGTTGTTACTTTTGTGCAATATTTCTATAAAAAGAAAAAAAATGTATTGTTCAGTATTAATGTTAACTGTGCGTTAAAATTAAAATCACATTCGGTCGAACATAACACTGCTCGCCTGTAAGGTGAAATTGTATTCCTAAAGCTGCGTTGTAGGGTAGATGCTTGCATATAAGACGGCATCGCGTATGGAAGCTTGATATGTTCAGCAAGCTGTATAAGAAAGATATTCAAATGGTTTAAATTTCATACTTGTGTAAATATATCATCTTTTAAAGTAAAAGTTTAGGAATAAGTTAGATTTATATTTTTTTAAATGAGCTGCGCGTAGAAGAGGAGTATGCTTTTTTTTTTAATAAGGCATTTTAAAGGAGGCATTGTGTTATATTCGAATCAGTATGGTATTTCATTAATTCCAAAGCAGTTCAGAAAAGTAAGAAAATGTGTAGAAACCCATAATTATACAATCACTTCTCCCATTTGGCATTCTCTCATGTTCTTTTCATTATTCTTTCTTGTTACTCACTTCAATGCTAGATAATTACGAAAGATGAAAATGCAGTTCCCCTCTGTGATATGTCTTAACTACAAAGAAAAAAGTGTACAAAATTTTATTCTAAAATAATTCTATGTTATGTATATTTATACACATATTCTCATGTTGTACTTTTGCCTGTTATAGTTAAATCTTGTTATTCATTGCTATGTATGTTGCAAAATTTCTGCGCGAATAATGCTTTCAGTATCCCTTAAGTAAAATCATAAGTTTTTTTCCTTCTTTTTTATACATACGTTATATTTATATGCCTGTTGTAGAGATACTGAAAATTGGATGCTAAAATTAGTTTTGAAACTACAAAATTACTTACTGATTCTTAAAAATCAGATTTTGTGTAAAGATTTTTTTTTTTACTTCTTTATATGTTCATGAATTGTATTGTATCATCTGGTATTAATACTTTTGACGCTTTTAGTGAAAATCACCGAAATTTACATAGCGTCATAATGTTAAAAAACATAATATAGCTCTTCCTATGAGAGAATATAAGTACGTGTTTTCTACATCAGCTGTTGTACTACAATGTATGTTTTAGATTAATTTGTAAAATTTTATGCTCTTTTTTTTTCCAATTTTTTATAGCTACTTATTCCTTTAGTGTTGGATGCTATATGGTGTTTAGAACACATGAACGTGTACTTTTCGTCTACATTTTTTACCTTAAGGAAAGATGTAGATTATAAGATATTTATATCAAGTCTAGGTTCCGTATTCATTTTTTAAAAATTATCATACATATTAATATTTATAAAAATCAGTATTGAAGAGAAGTGGGAAATTTTAAAAATTATTAATTATTTATTTTTCGAAAGACTAAAGCTTTTCCCATTAACTGGACCATTTTAAAACGAGTAAATATTACTTAATTTTGTTAGATACGGTTAGATTTATTTTGCGGTTGTTGCTAACATTGGATGTATTCAAAAAGCTAGGCCAGATGGTGCAATTACGTGATATTTAATTCTAGGCATTTTAAATTAAACTAAGTATGTGACGTCTAAGTTCCCGGGAATAAATTGTGCAATCTAGGAATTATAATTTAGTTCACCTTGTTTATCTAGTCTTTCCTCTGTTGCTTTTCTGAAATTCTGTCGAGTGAAAAATGAATTAAAAAATGAGAATTAAATACTTATAAGCGTCTATGCTTATTTTTATTTCATTTTTCAAATCCTTCTGTAGCTTCGTGATTTTCCCTGTTACCGAGAAATAAACAAAAAATTTTTAAAGTATAGAAATTTGTAGCTATAAAAGAGAAAGCATTATTAATCTTGTTTTATGTATAAATTTGTTATTGATGTTACTGAACATGTTAAGCAAAATCTGCAGAAAAGTTAAATTTGCTTACCATTGGTTGAAATTAAGTACACCCTGATACTTACTTTCTATTGCTATTATAATGTGTGTGCATTGTGTGTATATATATATATATATGTATATCTGCTACAGTGAGTATATTTGAGCGGAGGGAAAACAGCTCTACTCTCTGTTGATCCTTTACAAAACTTATGAAATTTATACAAAAGAAAATTACGTGATTACTGTAAATTTTGGATGTACGGTTAAGATCAATCCCCAAGATCTCATTTGTATGTGTCACATTGAAGAAGCATATTTTGGAAAACAGGGAAGTAGAAGTACATTTGAAAATCGTGCCAAATTTTAAGGTATTAAACGTTGTCTGATAAATCTCGTTCGTAATCAGTGTTAATGTAAATGATGTGGTGTTATTACGTATATTTAAGCACGAGGTTTATGACGACGTTTTCGCATGTTGCTCGGCTTAGATATGCTTTTACTTTAAATGTAATGTTGCTAAATCGCGCATAGTGGTCAGTGTATTTTACGAAAAAAAGCAAAGGCGGTAAGAGAGAAAAGAGGGAACTAAGGTTTTATTTTGATGCTATAAAATGCGAGAGCAAAGGTTACATTGAAAATTGTTGAAGCCGAGCCACGTTAATTTCATTCTTTCTTATTATGCTGCCATTCCACTTTTCGCTAGAAAAATGGGGGGGGGGATAAATGCTTTGAACTTCGAATTGTTCAAGATGAAGAAACTATTATATGGAGCACGCGTTTTTTTATTTTTATCTACTGTATTTCGTTTCTTTATAGCTGACTATATATATATATTTTTATACTTTTCAATGACAGAGAAGGTTAAATATCTTGGAAAAGGGAAGATACCCATATCTTAGAATATTACTAGTGATTATGTGGTTTTTACAGTGCAATCGTGTAGAAAGAAAAAGTAGAGAAAATTAGTATCACTTCATTGTTGTGCTACTTGCAAATCTAGATGCTCAAAAGCTTTTATACTGCACTGCATAAATGTCCGTTTCACTTTCGCCATGGCAGTCCTTCCGAGGGAGCGATCACATGTGATAATATTTGCAATTTACAATTGTTCGTACAGAAACAAACAATTGTAAATGCAATACGAATTGTTTTACGCTTG